CTGGGATGTTGTAAATGGGGTTTGGTGAGTGTCTTTAGTTTTTTAAAGGAATTTTGATGTGTGTACTGGACGTCAGGGAAGCTGGCTGCATCCTGACTGGGGTCATACGACCCTGAGTGTTCTTGTGAGCCATGGCGGGCCCATCTTTGTGGGCACACCGGGGGCTCCATTAAAGTATGTAGCGATGCCTTCTGACGCTCGTGGTTGCCACATGAATAGTATCTTATTTGGGGATACCATGGTACCCAATATAGAGTAAGATTATATCTTCCTTTTGGGTATAGTGTGTTATTTAAGGAATGCTATCTTAGTAGGTTCGACCACCAAAAAAACGCTACTCACATGTGCCACAGTACATGTCAGGGGCATGCCTTTGGGCCAGGCCATCTTCGAGGAGCAAAGACTTCTTCTGTTCAAGTATGACGCTCCAAAGGCCTCGTTCGGCCTCTGCTTGCAAAGACTGGGTTGCTGTTAAGGAACTTAAATTAAGTTACTATATTGGGGAAACCATATTATTTACTATATATACCCATTATGGTAACTTGATTTAAGTTCCTTAACAGCAACCCAGAAGAGCGCTTTAATGTTGTGGCCTGTATCCACAGGATGAAAAGAGACAAGCCGGCGCGACGTCGCTGGATGCAATGGACAATACCGGATCACACAAGCTCAACAGAGTTGTAATTTCAAGCAGGCTCTTCTTCTGTTGATGCTTTCTTAGCTCATGCTCTTACTGCCTTTGGGAAAAGTTCACGGTGTCCAAGGTCCGTACACTCCAAATGGAAAGCAAGTGTGGCCAGCCCCAAGGTGCGAACTAGCTGCCAGCCTCCGCTGGCTATCCACATGCTGCCACTGGTACATGCCTGTGGGGGCTGTTTGGTAAACCATGTGGGGTTTTGATGTGGAGTTCCAGAAGATGGGTATAGGACAGGCACCCAGTGGCAGTAGCGCGAGTCCTTTGTGAGAAGTGCTGGTGCGGGCTGACCTCAGGGAGACCTGGAAAAGATTGTGGACACTAGCTTTCCAGCTGTGTTGAATGTGACGCTGTCGTGGACTTAGCTGTCAGACGCATGTTGATACCTCGACACTTCAGATTGGATGTGGCATTGAGACTGGATCTACAAGTCACTCCCTGGGGTCCCTGTGTTACAGGTACTGGTATTTTGAGGTATAAGCGTGATATGAAATTTAAGAACTTCCGCATGGTGATGGCTTTTTTCGGCTTGAGTGGCTGACTTGTGTGTTGGGTGGGGTCACGGCCTTGGTTAGCTTGCAAGTCAGGTGCCTCCATGCTCATGCCCATACAGAAATGGCAAAGGCAGAGGCCTTCAGGGTTTGGGGTTTGGGCTTCGTAGGGCTTTAGAGCGGACAGCTTTCCTGGCAGGTCAGACATGATCATCGAGAAAAGGGGGCTGGAATCTCACAGAGTGTTGACCAAACCCTGTGCGCTGAGTCCTAAGCCCCCAGAGCCTTCAGGAAGATGCCCCGGAGAAGATCAATATCGATAAGCCAATGCCAGAGGACTTCGTGGAGGTTCCATTTGAGCAGTGTTAAAGCTTTGAGGATACTACGGTACCGACTGAAGTCCATGAATATTAATACAATGGTACCCAATACAGTGTGAGATTCTATCCTCCTTTTGGGTATAGTATTTTATAGAAAGGATACTATCTTACTAGGTTCAACCACCAAAAAACACTACTCATTTGCCTAGGGCCCAAGTTTGTTCTGGAAGCGACTGCTGGCTGTTCTGCTTCTGCCAGATTGTTGGCACCGCTTCAGATGCGCATGACGCATACCTAGCTGGTACAGCCCTTGGTGAGAGCCGCTTGCAGGTTGTTTTCATTGCCTTTGCGAATGATGCATCTAAGGCTGCAACTGGTGGACGGAGACGCTGGATTCCTTCTATGGTCACCCTGCTGAGTTCTCAGTGGGCAACCAGCAGCCATCGAAATGGCCCAAACGAAATGGGTGGTTGTCAAAATTATGGTCCCTTTTTGGATCCCTATTATAATACGGCGCCTAATATTTAGGGCACCCAAACCGGGACCACAATTTTGAGAACCACCCAATATGACCCCATTATAATAGTTTCCGTTTTCTTTTCCATTGCACCCCATATAACCCCAATATAGCCCCAATATAACCCTAATATAACCCCAATATTACCCTAATGGGTACCATAATCCCAAACGCAGGATCACGACAACTTGACGGATCATGATCTGGAGCATTCTTCTGCCGATGAAGAGGCCAGGCTGCTGGCAGAAGAGAAGGACTAGCAGCTAGCATATGAGCCATGGTCTGAACTCCTTAAAGGGGGATATATAGGGGATTATAGGGGATTACTACAAGGAATATTAAGGAGCATACTATCAAGATATGAGCTATGGTCTAAACTCCTTAAAGGGGGATGTATATAGGGGATTATATGGGGGATTATAGGGGATTACTATAAGGAATATTAAGGGGGATACTATCAAGATATGAACTATAATTCCTTAAAGGGGGATGTATAGGGGACTATATAGGGTTTAGGGTTTAGGGTTTTGGGGGGGACCTATGAAGGGGCATA